TCAGACTATCGAGGAAACAGAAAATCTACAGATTATCGAAATAAATTGAAAATTACATTTACAGGGTCCGGCAATAGTGCGTCGGGCATCTGTAGCTCCTAAAATAAAAAAAATGGGAATTTTGTTTAAGTGGAAACCTAAAGTATGTACGAGGATGTCATGATCACATGAAAATATTTTAACTTCTATAGGGTGGCTCAAAAAAGTATGAGTGGATCGGGATGATTTTTTTTAAATAGAACACCTTGTATATTATTGCATTTTTGGCTTCCCTTCAGATCACTTTACATAATCCTAAGATATGATTAAATTTATTTTGATAGTTTCAGATATATTAATAAATAAATAAAAAATGTATATTTTTCAACCTTTCTTAAAAATGTTATGAGTATTCAAAAGATATACATTTACTTCATGGATGGAATCATGATCGGTAAAACTGTGAGGCTCTGATACTAACCACTCTGTCTAATTATTAACTAACTACTCACCAACTAATTGTTCCATCTTTTGTATACTCTTTAACATCACTGTCTTGTTATCGCTTGTTGGCATCGGCGATTACGTAGTTAAACAATTTACAATATAATTCCTCTAACCTGGTGATGACTGCCATGAACTTAATTAATATTCAGTTACTTGCATCTGATTTCGTCGACAGTAGTAGGGCAGGCGGGTACCAGACTACTAGGACCCAAAATGGCGGCCGTTTGGCGTCAGTTCATGACGGCTTTTGAACTGTGACTAATATTTTAATTGTTTTTTTTAATTAAAAAAAGTGTGTGCACTATGTGCGCATATTTGAAGTGAAATTTCTTACTATCGGCTATTAATTTAGAGGATATGAAGGACATGTTTGAAAAAGTTACATATAATGCTGTTTTAATATAAATGTTATTTTCAATTTTTTTCTGTAATCTGTACATTTTCTGGTTCCTCAATAGCCTGCAAATTTTATGGAATACCACCGAAAATACACACTTTTATGCAAATGCCTAATAATGTTAACGCATAACTTTAAGAGAAAAACATTCTGAACCTAACTTCGTCGGCCGGATAGCTGCTGTGGCCATTAAACCAATATACTTCTACTAACCTAACTTCGTATTTATAGTGGTTTACAGTAATTTTGTTAAATTATACGAAAATTCTTCTTGATTATTGGTTTGAAATAAATATGACGATGTCCTCCAATGAAAACGCGACTTGCTTAACTCCAATAATTCTAATTCAGAGCTAGCAAATGAGCTAAATGCTTTACCTAGACCGTTATTCAAAAGTTACAAACCTATCGATGAAAATATGCATGAAAATTTACTTCCTAGCATACAACCAGAGGACATTGGTACCCAGGTACAGTATCAAGTTTATTATAACGCTTTTTTAGCTTTAAATCAAACTTTTTTTGGTGTTCGCGCGATCCTTACCACTTTTTTTCTCGCTAGCTCGTGCGTCAAGGCATGGCCAAGGTTTGTCTCGTGTCAAGGCCGTGGTGTGTCACGGCCTTGAATTTTGAATCCCATCACGCGTAAAGAAGTTTTACTGTAATAATGTTTGTTTTACAACATGTCTGGGTCGATGTTATGCCTTGTCCCCTTGGTTTTATTTCAACATGACTGACAAAATTATATTATACATGTTTTTCCCAAATTTATATAAACCAAAACCAGCCATAATTTTGGTTCTTGACACTATTATGTTGTAGCGGATTGAAATTCCACAATTCAATTACATATTTTTCGATTTTGCCGAATATGCGTAGCATTTCTACCCACGGTACTATCCGTAACGGCTGCTGCATTCGGACCCGTCACATGTCGCAAACTAATTGAATTAAAAGCGTATCGACGACGAACGGTCGACCACGCATCCCGATCGAGCCAATAAATCAGTGGCGCGCAGACAGGGCAAAATACAGAGAAAGAAAAGGAGGAAATTAAATTTTCCCGACGTGCGTCCGTTTTACATATGCGCAATGCCAGATATGCGATAATTGCCAATTTATATACAGGGTCGGATCGCGACGGGAACGACGATTGGTCGCGATTTTGTCCTGTTCGAGATAGATGGGATTGTTACGGATATGCAGCGAGAATCGTTTAGAACATAGTTAGAGAACCTGTTAATATATCTATGTTCTCATTTTCATTATGCATCACAATGCTAAAATTGTTTAATGATTTAAATGACCAGTTCAAAAAACTACAAAATAATTTTAGTAGTATTGCTAACAAATTGTCACACTTAAAAGGAAAATTGAAGCAAAAGTTGGTATATATGCTTTCCAAAGATCTTACTCCAACGTTTTATAGTACTGCAGCACACAACCGATATGTGCAGGATGGCAAATCATAAGATATAAAAGATGTCAGCAGCCTTGGGTCTGCAGCCCAACACTTATACAAATTTAAAAAACGCAAAATTTCTCAACAAAGCCTCGGACCCGGACATCAGAAAAGTAGACGAAAATTGGCAATGAAACGGACTTTACGAATAGGAACATGGAATATTCAAGGGATAGCAACAAAGAGAGAAGTATTTAAAGAAATGGAACGGTACGATATGGACATAATAGCTCTAACAGAGACTAAGAAAAAAGGGAAAGGTACAGAAGAGAAGGATGGATATGTGCATATATATACAGTGGTGTACCAAAAGAGGAGCGAGCCCGCGGTGGAGTATCACTAGCAATTAGGAAGAAATATAAGACATTTATAAAATCTTGGGACCAAATCAACCACAGACTTTTGCAGGTGGATGTTGAGTTATGAGAAATCATTCTTTGGTAGTTATAGCAGCCTATGCCCGAACTGACGACGCCCCAGCCGCCGAGAAGGACACGTTCTTTTTTTATTTGACGACAGCCTTGGAAAAGATTGGAAGTCGAAAGGAGGTGATTCTAATTGGTGACTTAAATGGCAGAACAGGTTTTAAATTAAATGACCCAGTAGTAGGACGCTACGGAGAACACATTGTAAATAATAATGGTGAAAGACTTATTCACTTATGCGAACAACAGGCACTCAGGATGCTAATTGATGGTTTCCACACAAAGATATCCATAAATATACATGGACGCAACCCACACAAAATCTAAAATCGTTAATTGATTATATAATTGTTAGGCAGAAAACTCAACTGAAAATTTCGGATGTCAGAGTCATGCGTGGCCCAGAATGTGGTACTGATCATTTCTGGGTAGTAGCAAAATCTTATTTTCCCTACAAACAAAAAATGCAATCAAATGGATTGCCTGAGAAAAATGGAACTCCATTAAGTAATGTCAAGTATAATATCGAAATTTTGAGGAATGACTTAACTAAATTCTTGTACCAGATGAGACTGGCCACGAAATTAAACAGAATAGGACAAGGATCTTCAAATGATATGTACGAAAGTCTGAAAACTTGCATACATGAAGCCACAAATGAGGCTCTTGGAGAGAAAATAGTCTCCACGGGATACAGAAAAGATACACCTTGATGGAGTGAAGAACTAGGAAAGATTGTAGATGAAAGGAAGGCTGCTTATGGGAAATGGTTAAGTGCAGCGAGCACTCAGGACAGACTAATTTATAATGACAAGAAGAGAAGTGTACAGAAGGAAATAATAAAAGCAAAGAATGAGTACTGGGAAGAAAGATGCCAAGAAGTCAACCTAGAAGCTGGAAACACAAAAGCAAATAAAGCATGGAAAATTATCAACGGAATGCGAAGGCAACATAAAGTTACTGCAGGGATGGATATTATTCCGATCGAGAATTGGAAGACTTATTATCAAAATCTTCTGACGGAAAATAGAACCGAATTCATACAAGATCATGAAAGTCATCCTGTTAATCCAACCGAATCTGAGCAGCCAACACGAATAAGCTCTGCAGATGTAAATAAAGCCCTCCAACAAATGAAAAATGGCAAAGCCCCAGGTTTGGGAAATGTTTCAGTGGAACTTTTAAAGGCTGTCCCCTCAGAAGTTTTAGAAATTCTAGCAGATATTTTTAGTAGATGTTTAAATGTAGAAGCTATTATTACGTCCATATTTAAGAAAGGGAGCCGACGCGACTGTGAAAACTATAGAGGAATTAGTGTCATTTGTACTGTTGCTCGACTCTATGGCAAAGTACTAAAACATAAGATAGAAGCACAAATAACGGAATCGGAAGAGCAAAATGGTTTTAGACCGGGCCGCTCATGTACTGATGGCATTTTCACTCTTAAACATCTAATCGAAAAAAGGCTAGAAAAGGGAAGGACGGTCCACTTGACATTTATTGATCTACAGAAGGCATACGATACAGTCCCAGTAAGTAAGTTGTGGGTGTCAATGCAAAATTTTGGTATCAGTAGTTGGTATGTCCAAGCAACAAGAAAATTATACGAGGGTTGCAGTATCACAGTTAAACTTGGAAACAATATTTCCCAAGAATTTCTTGTGAATAAAGGCTTAAGACAAGGGTGTTCATTAGCACCAACTTTATTTAAAGTATATTTGGAGGAAGTATTAAAGTGTTGGAAGATGAAATGCCGTGGAATGGGAATCCCAGTAGGAAAAGACACTTTATATACTTTACTCTTTGTCGATGACCAGGTCTTAATAGCGGGAGATAGAGACGACTCCAGTTATATGTTTAGAAAACCGTATGAGGAATATTCGAAATGGGGCCTAACAATAAACAGAAAGAAGACGGAGTACATGGTAGTGGGTGATGACGAACGTGAGGATTTGGATGTAGGAATCGGCATAATTAAAAATGTCTGTACATTTAAATACTTGGGCGTCACTTTTACAACAAATGGAAAAAGCACTCAAGACATTGCAAATAAAGTTGATCAAGGAAAAAAGAGTTATCGGTCAACTTAACTCGTTGTTGTGGAGTGACAAAATTTCCCAAAAAAACAAAAATTCTACTTTATAAAGCCATTGTAGAGAGCATTACAACGTATGGCGCTGAAACGTGGGAGCTAAACAAAGTAAAGAAAAATAAGTTGCTGTCTCTTGAAATGGATTTTTGGCGAAGAAGTTGTCGCATTTCAAGACTGGAACACATCTCAAATCAAAGAATACGAGAAATTATAGGAGAAAAAGAAACTATTCTCGACGCCATTGACGGCAAAATACTAAATTGGTACGGACACCTTCAGCGAATGGATGATAACCGATGGCCAAAAAGTATTCATTCATGGACACCAAGCGAAAGGCGGAAACGTGGAAGACCACCTCGAAGATGGAAGCAGGGCGTAGTTGAGGCTATGAATTCCAAGGGCCTTCAGAAAGAAGACTGGACAGAGAGAAATCTGTGGAAGTTGAGAAGCGGGAGACGACGAAAGTCGTAAAAATCCGCAATATATATATAAAAGATGTCATAAATAAAATATCCCACATTCAGGCTTAAAGTATTAAAATAGTATACACATTCCCTTATATTAAACATACATGAAATGATAATTTAAAAAAGGCGTCCATTGATCCCAAAGAGACCTGGTTTGCAATACAAGAGGGTCTTATTGCTTTGGCTTTTGTACATGATAATTTGACAATATAGTGGTTAAAGCTGTCTCAACAAAAAAGAAGCCTTTAGCTATTTAACTCGTCTAGAATTACAAATATATAACTAGGGACCATCAAAAGCACAATAACTGAAGTTAGCCCCATTACTGAGTACTTACTTAGATGTAATTCTAAAAAAATATACTTGCTGTAAATATGCGGTAGCAATTCATCACTACACAGCCACGCATTACTACTGCTCTATGGATATAGGTCTCACTCAATTTATTCTAATAATGCTTACTCCGAGCTTTTTGAACCCAGTTTCCGACTGGGTACTCTTTGGGTCATCTATTCCGGATACTGATTTTGGTTACCGATACTGGATACTCTTTGGGTCATCTATTCAATTAGATGGTGGTCTTTCTCGGTTTTTAGAAATGTTTGGAACAAGATAATATTTAAGGCGGAACTCAAGAACCTGGAAGACTCCGTCCGTGACCTGGAATGGGAATTCTCCAACGGTCTAAGCCATTCGAAAATGTTTCTGAGAATTTAAAAAAAATCAAAAATTTTAAGAATAATCTTTGGATTGTCATGGGGTTTCTAACGGGACACTGGCTCCTCAACGAACATCTTAGTAGATTGAAGCTGAGAAAAAAAAGGCGAATGCAGATTCTGTGGGGAAAATGGAATAACACCAGAACACCTTATCACTGAGTGCGCCGAGGCGACAACCGTTCTTGCCATAAACTTGGTACGGTTGATGTCGAAGATGCAGAGCTGTCAAAGGCCTCAGACTATATGATGAGTTATAACTCAAGAAAGTAGAACACACACTAGTAAGGTCGCGGTGATTAACCCTCCTCCAAAACATTCTACAAGATGATATACCAAGTCGTCAGTAGGCATGTTCGGTCTTCCGGTATACCGGTACCAGGACCGGTACTTTTGAAATATTCCGGTATTGGTATCGTCTTTTCCAGACCGGTATACCGGTTTCGGTACCAGTACCGGAAGACTGATTTTGGTACCGGTACCGGAAGATCGGTTTAAATCGGTCCTGAAAGACCGGTTTCAATCGGTACAGAAAAATAGTACTAATAAAACAATAGTTAATAATAAAACTAAAATTCAAGTAAAGCATCTTACTCATGGATCACTCATGTATATTATATAAATTAAAATGTCTCAATGTCAAAATACTCTGTTATTTAAAATATGTAAAATAGCATTTTATTTCAGCTCCATTTATATCTTCAAGAACAGCAGCTTCCAGTTTCATAAGTAAATAGAATGTTGGACAAGAAATCAAGAATATGCCGGAAAGTGAACATAAACAATGGGAATCTTAAATTACATCATTAACATTATAACGGTAACGGATAGATTTACGATATATTCAGAGAAATCTAATTTATCTCTCACAATACCGTATTTATTACGTTACCCTATTTACTTAACGTTACAAGCACGAGAACTTTTTATTCTATTATATATGCTCACTGGCATAACATCCAAAGTCCAAAGTTCTTATTTCGGTCTTTCCTATATTCCGGATCATCCGGTCCAATCGGTCTGTCGGTCCATCCGGTCTTCCGGTCCAGCCGGTATACCGGTTCAGTATCGGTCCCAGCGATCTAATTGTTGGAACCGGTATACCCGTTGTACTTTGTGGTACCGGATTCCGGTACTGAAATCTTAGGACCGAATATCCCTAGTCATCGGTCGATTACTGACCTACCAACTTTCCATGACCAAACTGACTATCACTTACGAGATAACCAACTATACTAATTGAGTAGTTTGAGTACCTATGAAAGACTAGCGCCGATAAGCAGTGCTACAGGTTTTAAACTTTTATATTTGGATAATGGCACTACTCAGTTTGCAGATTTTTACGCGTCACTGCCTCTAATGTCGCTTAACTTCGAAGATCGGGCGGGAACATCGTTTTATAGATAATTATATATAAAAGTATAAAAATGATATTCAGAAGCAGGATCAACTCTGGAATTCAGACGAGTCAAAGCTGCAGTGGATGTGGAATTAGTATTCCCTACTCAGATGCTACCTATTCCTTTTATCAAATTGGTGGTCTCAAATAAAAAATGTCGTTAAGAGGTGTTATCGGCTTTCAGTTGAACGCTGCCTTCAAGACTTGTCTTGAATTGATTAGAACGATAGCTGCTGACGAAACTTTAAAGGATTTTTTAATTTTTATTCCCTACAATTTTAATAGTTACCTAAACACAATAAGTATGTTACTATAAAATACACAAGAACGATATTTCTTTGAATGTGGTTGGTAAGGATTCAGTATTGAAACTAAAAGAATTTTCGGGTTTTAGTGTCAATAAGGATAAAATTAACAATAAAGTTGAGATTAATAAAAATGTAAATCGTCAACTTTCTGGTGAAAACAAATTTTCGTCTTTCTATAGCCAATATAATCTTTTTGGGTTAACTTTATAGAGCAATTTTGACTGCATATATTTATTTTTTAGTTTGTCCAGTATTTTACGAAAGGTCACTCATACGATCTTGTTGGACATTTAATATACATTAAACACACAGCAAATAGCTTACGACTTGTTTTAATGTTGTAACTTCTCCCCTTGTTTGGACGTAGTGCTGTTATTTTTACTAGCGTAGGCTTTGTATATTTTGAATCAGATGTACGGATGTGGGTATAGATTTTATGCCGACGATTCTATTAGCAAAGTTTACAGAATAAAATATAAGTTCCGTCACTTGTGTCGGCGGCAGGTATCAAAAGCCGCTTCACGCACGTGTTTCCCAGTGTATTACTGGTGTGTGGACTTTGGACCCAGCATACACGGCGGATCACGTTCGGCGTATTACTCTGATTTTGGCGTTATTACAGAGTGGTCTCGCATGCACATGGAATTATTTTTCAAGTGATTATTTAATTTTCATTGCAAAATGTTACTGATTACATTAGCCTTAGTTAATTATTTATTAGTGTATTATAAAAAAACCATAATTATTTTTATTATTTCTTAAAAATAATATTGAGTTTTTCGCCACTGGAAAAAAATTATTTAAAATATCTAATTAGAATTATTCAAGAACACTTTATTTTTTTACACGAAAAATCATATACTGGGTGTGTCTCAAAAGTGGCTTACCCCTATAACTTTTTTATTTTTTCAGATAAAAAAACGAGATTTGGTGTGTTAGTATATGACCTAAATTAGGATCGATTAACGTTTTCAATTCTTTTCGGTCACTTCCGGTTTCACCGAAAATGACGACAACTTTTGATTTTTAAACGGTAACCTCCGCATTTTTCTACTTTATTCGATAAAAAATGACACTCTGAATAGAATGACATATCATATGTCACTTTTTGGCATTTTAGCTTAAAAAAATCTTTTAAAATTTCAATATTGAGTGTCATAGCTCTTTTAAAAACAAAACTTTAATCAAGGAGTCCTGGGAAAAATAGATTTGATCGTCTAATGTTTTCCATGCCTTGTCTTGGCCGGTTAAAAGATGCCCAAATGGTATTTTTAACCATATCTTAATTTTTTTCAAATGGAAAGAGGGTGGCTCATTAGTATATTTGGAAAAAGTATTTTTTACGAATAATTTCATGCCACACACTGGGTATTTCGAGTCAAATTGTCGTTATATACCGCGTGTTACACTTTCAAATAAATCATATGTGAAACTGTTGAAAACTGACATATGATATGTCTTTCTACTCAGAGTATCATTTTCTATCGAATAACGTAAAAAAATACCGGGGATACCATTTAAACATCAAATGTTGTTGACATTTAGTAGTTTCAGCTTTGAATTTTATAGTGTACGTAATTCGTGTTGGAAAACCATATTACGCACTCATGGAATACTGCACTCGTGCGTAATATTATTTTTTCCAAAACACTCGTTACGTAATATACGTTTACATTATTTACTGTTGATATTGTGTAGCTTTATTTTTTGTGTTTGTTTTTAAAATTTATTTTATTTTTGCTATATCTTTTTTATCTTGCCATGTCTAAATATTTATATGCAATACACCAATAAACTAATAGTATATTTTTTCTTTTGTAGATTTACTATTAGGTATTTTGAAATACCCCACGTTCCCTGCACCTTGTCGCACATTGCGATCGGTAAAAATGCGGCTTCTATTTACCCCGGCTTCCACTCCTGTTTTCATCGAAGTCCGGCGTATCGGACGAGGCGGCTTCTGGCTTTTGATACGCGATTTTCAAAGTGCCGATGCTAAGTGACCGAACTTATATTTTATTCTGTAAACTTTGCTATTAGTGACTTTTTATTGTCTGCTTTTGCAAAACATTTTTATTTCACATAAAACTGTGATGTGCATATTGATTTCAATGTTTTTATTTTTAATGCACAAATGCACCATACCAATTAATTTAATCGAGAGATCCAAATACTTATAGCTTTACATTATTTTTAGGATTGAACAATAAAAATAAAATAAAATATTTCAGATACTGAGATTTTAAGATTTTTAGTTTTACCTTATTAGATAACTGTCATCGGGTAGTACATTGTTGTAGATTGTAGATTATATATATGGCAGAGAGGAAGTAAATCATCGCGACCTTATAGATTTATTGTTTCCCCTTTTCTTTAGCTAATATCTCATCATGCAGTCTAAGGGCTTTGACAAAAGCCAGAAGTAGTGAATGTAAAAGTATTTAGTTTTCAGCCCAAATATTCCTATTCCTGTTTCTCCTTTGGTATTTTTATTAGGTTGTTAATTTGACGTTTGATTTTATGTAATGACAGAGTTTTATCAAAATTGCCATTGCATAAAATCGTCAAAACGTCAACGTGT